CGGGCTGTGTGTGTGTGTGTGTGTGTGTGTGTGTGTGTGTGTGTGTTGAAGTCGGGAGTTTAGAGTGGCCAGAGATGCGAGACAAGTGGAGAAGGGAGGCGCTGTGCATGGGAGAACGCTCAGTGACTCTCCTCCTCGCAGGGTCTGAAACACCACTTCTGCAAATCACAGTGCCACGGAGGGCAGACGCGAACACCAGTGATGTCAGTGATCCAGAATCTCATGTAAGTTAGAAATCGTCTGGTTTAAAGGTAGGGCTGTTTGATTTTTACTGCGCTACCTGGTCCTAATCAACTCAGACATAGCCCTTGATGCGATTTTGTGCTGTAATTGTGCTAGAGAGTTGTTTGTTCTGTGTGAGGGCAAATGTTTAGATTTCTTTCTTTTCTTTTTTTTTTCTTTTTTTGAAGAAAAGTTTTTGCTATAGGGCAGTGAGCTTGCTATAAAGACAGACAGAGACAGAAAGGGAGAAATCACCCCCCAGGGGGCATGGCCACCCACTAATCCCTTCTCCTCCAGTCTCCTCTCCGGATCTTGGGCATGCAAGCACCGTATCCAGGCATGAGTTTAAGCCTCAGGGTCTGGGGCTCCAACCATGGTCAACTACGTGGGAGTCCATAACATAACCATGATGCCACCTACTGGTCCCAAGTGTTTGATTTTTCTTTTCATTTCTCTTCTGTATAATTTTATGCAACTATTTTAAAATAGAGACTCAGAAAAAAATGTCCCAAATTTCTGTAACTCAAAATAATATGCATTGTTTAGGAATCGTTTTTCAGAATGTATGCACATTAAATATCTATTTTCATGTAAGTGATGTCATAGTAATATTTATCTTGTAACGTGATTTTAAAATGACCATATAAAAAGAACTTCTTGGGGCGGGCAGGTAGCATGGTAGTTAAGGGTCTTGGACTCCATATGGCCTACTGCAGTTCAAGTCCTAGACCTGGTGGCTTGCTTTCTCACTCTCCCTCTCTTTCTCTCTTCTCAGTCTGTCCCTCTCTGGTCAAATTAAAATAAATAAATAATATAAGAATTTTTAAAAAAGAAAAATAATGAAAAAAAAAAGAGACCACCTTTGGGACCCGCAGGTGGCATAGTAGTTGAGGCACTGGACTCCCACATGACTGACTGCAGTACAAGTCTCAGACTTGGGGACTTGCTCTCTCACGTCCCCCCCCCCCAATCTCTCTCTCGTTCTCTGGTGGGTGCATGTGCTCTTCGGCAAAGTAAAAAAGAAAAAAAATTATAAATAAAATAATTCTTTAAGATAAAATGACTTCTTGTTTATATGTACATTACATATATGAAAGTCTTTGTAAAATTAATGTCATTTTTTTTTTGGAGAGAGTTTTCACTGTAGGGCGCGTGCGCTCACCCAACAGACAGAGAGACAGAAAGCGAGAAATCACCCCCCAGGGGGGATGGTCACGCCGCAATCCCTTCTCCTCCATTCTCCTCTCGGGATCTTGGGCACGCTCGCACACGCGCCCGGCGTGAGTTTTAAGCCACCGGGTCCGGGACACGAACCGCGGTCGACTACGTGGGAGTCCAGCGACATAGCCATTACGCTAACTGCTGGTTCCCAAATTAATGTCATTTTTGATCTGAAGAATGAAGTGTGTACATTGTAAGATTAAATCTAGGTAGTACGAAGTTGCGAACAAAGTGAATGTCCACCCCAGTTGCAGTTTCTAAAGGTAGTAAATTTGAACTAAATGTGTATTTAGACATGTACATACACACATTTATTTTCAGTGATCATGCAGGAGGATCAGTGGATTTTTATTGATAAATTAGGATTACTTTTAGGATAATAATATAGCTCAGTTTCACAGCTGCAGAATATGTTATAATATGATTATATTGTTATTTTTTTGATATGTAGATAGTTTCATAAATGTTCTTTTATAGTTATCTTGGCAGGATCAATGAGAAAGCCATTACGAAAGTTTTTGGAGGCCCAGCTGTGGTGGCACAAGCAGTAGGGTAGTGCAGTGAGGCTGGGGCCCTACGGGAGGGCCAGGAGGGGATCCCACCCACTTGACCTGGTGTGGCTGTGCTTCTAGATAAGTGGGAGGCAGGAGTAGAGGCTTGCATCTGAGTCCTTGTACAAAACAAAACAAACAAAAAACCTTCTGTCTCTTTCTCCCTCTTTCTCTCATAATTTTTGTTAATTGTTATAGGATGTGTGTACTTACCAGAGAGAGAGAGAGAGAGAGAGAGAGAGAGAGAGTCAGAGAGAGAGAAGGCCAAAGGCTTTCCCCCCAGACCCTGCCCCTCTATTCCGAATGGGGTGTGATCATGTTGCAGTCCCTTTCCTCCATTTTTCCATCCTGTAGGGGATTTGGGGCTTGCACACGCAGGTGCCTGGAATGGTCTTCATGCTGCTGGGGCTGCTGACGATGTGGGATCCAGCTTCCTTAATTACTAGGCTATGATTGCAAGATATCTTCCAGAAGAGTTGCATAATTTTTGTCTCCTATTAAGAATGATGATGCATATCTTCTTAAACCTTCACAGGCCAGTCTTATCTCTGCTAATGTGACCATCATAATGAAAGCCTTATTTATTTTTTATTTTTATTATTTTTTTTGCTATAGGGCACGTGCACTCGCCGGACAGAGAGAGAGAGAGACAGAGAGACAGAAAGCGAGAAGTCACACCCCAGGGGGGATGACCACGCCACAATCCCTTCTTCTCCATTCTCCTCTCAGGATCTTGGGCACGCACGCACTTGCGTCCGGCGTGAGTTTAAGCCACCGGGTCCAAGACTCGAACCATGGTCGACTACATGGGAATTCAGTGACATAGCCATTACGCTAACTGCTAGTCCCAGAAGGCCTTATTTTTAATTGATATTTTTATTATGTTTTAAGATAATATGTATGTGTGTTAAGATGTTGAAAAATAGTATATATTAAAATGTTTTAACATCTAAAATTAGTGAAAAAAGTAAATTAAATTTAAATAGCCTTACTTACAACAGTAAAAGTTGATTTCTGACTAGAATAGGACAGCAGCTATTTTAGAAAGATATTCTAAGAAAAATGAAAAGGAAAAGGTAAAATACTGGAAAAGAGAACTACAAAAAGGAGTCAACAGAACCATGAAAAATGGATGCCCATAGCTTGCAATTAGAACAAAATATTCAAATCTATTAAAAAAGTCGTAAGTTGAATAAGATGAAATAAACAGAAGTGAAACACCGAAATGCTACTCCCTCACCCCTGTTCCTAGCTGTACCAACTCTAGACAGATGTGTGTAATTTTATCAAATGCACAAGTCTGAAAAATTCTTACATATTGAAATTCCTGCATGTACTCACCTAGATCGGAATTCTCAGAAAGTTCTTTTGCCTTTTTCTGACAACAACCAACTTCACTATGTTGTCATCTTGAACTTCATCTGGAAGGGATTACACAGTGGTACTTATTTTGCATGCCTGGGTTTTTTCATTCAGTCTACTGTTTTTAAAGTTCACCCATGCTGTTGAGGGTATCAAGCAATTCATACATTTTCTGGTTGTATGGTATCCTCGAAATTGAATTACTAACTTGTTGATGAATGTTGTCTTTAGTTTGTAGACATTATGAATAAATCTGCTATGAAGAAACAGCCATCATTGATAATATGGTTAGACACGCACATTTCTAGTAACAAAATGCTGGTTGGTTTACAGAATATGAGCACATTTATATTTAATAAATATGGTAAATTATTTGCTAAAGTGGCTGTACTATTTTCTCTCTCCACTAGCAGTGGAGAGAGACTTAGTTGTTCTATGCCCTTTGTAGTCAGTAGGTGTGGTCAGTCTTCGGCTGCTGTTTATAATGTGTTGGTTTTATTGTGTTTTCTCTTTCCTTTTTGAAGTATTATGTATCGTATGGCAGTGATGATGAGTATTAGTTGAGTATTTATGGGTCAACTGACTGAATTAAAATGATCGTTCTTTGGTCTAATATTGCCTTTTAAAAGTTTTTTTGATGACATCTTAGAGTAAACAATAGCTTTTAATTTTGATGTTTTCCAGTTAATCAAATACATATTTTATAGCTGCTTTTTTTTATCTTCTATTTCAGAATTACTTGGCAACACAAAACCATGAAATGGTCTAATATATTTTTATAAATAGATTTCTGGGATTGTACTTTGGATAGCATTCGGCGTACAAATAAATTTTAATTCAAGCGAAATGTCAATAATTTCAGACTTTACAGTTCATGAACTTAATCCATCATTTCCATTTATTTGTCTTGCTTAATTTTTCTTTGCCAAGTTCTGTAGTTTTTATTTAGAGGCCCTGCATATCTTTTCATGTTTTTTTTTTTTTTTTTTGAGAGAGATTTTCACTGTAGGGCGCGTGCGTTCGCCAGACAGACAGAGAGAGACATAGAGACAGAAAGCGAGAAATCACCCCCCCAGGGGGGATGGTCACGCCGCAATCCCTTCTCCTCCATTCTCCTCTCGGGATCTTGGGCACGCACGCACACGCGCCCGGCGTGAGTTTTAAGCCACCGGGTCCGGGACACGAACCGCGGTCGACTACGTGGGAATCCAGCGACATAGCCATTACGCTAACTGCTGGTTCCCCATCTTTTCATGTTTTTGTGATGCTATGACAAATAATTTCTAGTAAAGTTTATTTTTTGATAGTTTAACTCTTATAAAAATAACAAATTTTTGTATATTTATCTCTCTATATAAATATGATAAATAGTAAATCATTATAACTAATAGTAATATTTTCCTGCTACTTCATTTAAATTTTTATGTATTATACTCATGTTATTTGCAAAGTAAGAAGAATTTTGTTTTTTCCCCCAATGTTTGTGGTATTTTTTTTTTTTTTTTAAATATTATAGGGCATGTGTACTCACTGGAAAGGGACAGAAAGAGAAGGTAAGAAAACACCCAATGGAGGGATGGCTACGCCATAATCCTTTCTTTTCCATTTTCATCTTGAGATTTTTAGGCATGCCCACTATGTTTTGTGGGTCACTGTGTCTGTGATTCTTAGTTGTGCAGTTGGCCATGTGGGATCTAGCCTCCTTAACCACTATGCCATCATCTGGCTCTGTCTTTTTTTTCCCTCTTTTTTTAAGGCAGTTTCATAATCTCCCTGCCTCAGCCTTCCTAGTAGTTGAGACAACAGGCTGTGCTGCCATGTAAGACCAGGTTTTTTTCTGATGGGGTCGAGTCCCATACCTGGCGGCTTGAAAATCACACTTCGTGTGTCTGTGTGCATGCCCAAAATCCCAGGAAGAGAATGGAAGAGAAGGCACTGTGGCATGGCCATCACCCCAAGGAGTGATTTCTCACTTTCCCTCTATCTTTTTGTCTCTTGTGAGTGCACGTGCTCTATGCTGAGAACCTTAAAAAATTATATATCTATATACACACACACAATGCAAGTGGGACTACAATATGTAAAATGTATATTATGCAGTAAGAACAGTTATAATAGATATATAACAATTATACTTACATGAATAAAAGATTTTAAATATACTTCCTACATTTACACATTTAAAAAACTAGAAGAACAAACTACGACTTACGGGAAATTAAGTTCAGAACAGAAAAAAAAAAAAAAAGGCAAAAAAAACCCCATGTAGAATAACCATTGAGTGGACCACCAAAACTAGTAATAATACAATTTGAAAAAAATATCAACTAAATTGACAAACATTTAGCAGGACTCCCTCAGAGGTCATTAAGCTAGGTTGAATAAGACATGCACAGACGTAAAAATTAACTGTATGATCTCACTTGTATATGGTATCTGAAAAGAAAGGTTAAGCACATAGCAGCCTAAAATGGGACAGTGGTTACCTGATGCTGGGGGGTTCTGGAAAAAAGGGGAGATGCTACCAAAGGGAAAAACTTTCAGTTATAAAATGAATCAGTATGAAAGACCTATGTACAGCATGATGATTATAGTTAACAGCATGTAAGTGTATAATAGAGAGAGGAATAGTGATTATATACTTGAAATTTTCACATAAAGGAGGTCCCGAGTGTTCTCACACATAAACAAAATACCGACTATGGGATGATGGGCGTGTTAATTAGTTTGATGGTTGTAACTGTGTCACACTGTATATGTGTGCCAAACTATTGCATTGTACATATTATGTACTCTTTAAGTTTGTCCAAATTTTGTCAATCATATCTCAAAAAAGTTGGGGAAAATGCTATAAAAAGAAGCTCTAGTAGAGATAAAATGGAATTCTATTACTAATACAGTGATTAATTTATCATAAAAGTATCATCAAATTAAATCTGTTTGTCAGTAATAACGAAGTTCCATTAAATGGTGTGACTTCTAAGTGAATGTGGGCCGTTCCCAAAAACTGTGTCTTTAAAGTTGTGTCTTTGTGTCAAGTGACCCTTTTTAGCTCAGAAAATCATCAAAGGAGACAGGGACTATCCATAAGTAGCACTTTGGGCAGCTGGGAGTGGTAATTCCTTTGATTTGAACAGGAACATTTGTATTGTATCATTTAACTCTAAATTTTATTTGTTTTGAGAACTGTGAAGTAGAAAGAAGATAACAACATTCATGTTTATTCAATGATTACTCAGTTTTGTTTTTTTTTTTCCCATAGAGCACATGTGTTCACTGGAGAGAGAGAGAGAGAGAGAGAGAGAGAGAGAGAGAGAAGGAAAGTGACTTCTCAGGGGTAGTGACTCCTCCCAGGGGTATGGCCATGCCGCAATCCCTTCTTTCGGGATTTTTGACGTACATGTACATATACCCACCATATTTCAAGCTGCTGGGTCCGAAGCTTGAAGAATGATTGACTATGTGGGAGTCCAGCTCCTTAACAACCATGCCACCTGGTGCCCCCACATGACTCAGCATTTTTAAATTTAACTTTCATTTTTAAATTCAAATCTCATTATAACAGATGCTAATGAAGAATTCTCTTAATTTTGAAATAGATTCAGATTTGATATAATTAATTGATATAATTAATTATTATATCATCTATCTCAATGTTTAGACAAACAGAATACAGTCTATGTTTGTATAAAAGGATATACATCTCAAAAAACCATGGCTTTTACTTTTAAGAGGTTGAAAAATTTTTAAGAATTTAAAAAGTTTATCTATTATTATTATTTTTAAAAAATTTGACCTAGGGCCTGGATGCTCACCAGAGAGACAGAATAAGAGAGAAAGAGAGTGAGAAAGCAAGCCACCAGGTTGGGGACTCAAACAGTGGTCAGTCATGTGGGAACCCAGCACCTTAACTACCACTCTATCTGGTGGTCCCAAGATGTTGGAAATTTCAACATATAAAATATTTTTCTTTAAATATTTTGCTGCAGGTCACCTATTTTATTGAAATTGAAGGGAAAACATACACCCTCCTTCTTGAGAAACAGTAAGTAGCCATTCTTTTCCTTTTTTTATATAGTTATTTTTAGTGTCATAATTTAGGACAATCACTGGCCTAAAATGAGATGTGAAAGAACATTAATATTTTATTTATTTAACAATTATATCTTCTTTGTGATTCATGTTAGACTTGAATTTCAGGTCTTTGAGGCAATACGAATTTAATGATATAAATATTAATGCAGGCCTAATAAATAAAAATTACTGTATGTAACTCCTTAAAATGTAACCGATATACACAAGTACAGTAATTAAGATCTATGTTTTATTTGTCTGTTTTTAATTTGTTTTATCTTCACATGTCATTTTAAACATTTATATGTATATATATGACTTTTTTTTTTTGAGAGGTTTTCGCTATAGGGCGCATGCGCTCGCCAGACAGAGAGAGACAGAGAGACAGAAAGCGAGAAATCACCCCCCAGGGGGGATGGTCATGCCGCAATCCCTTCTCCTCCATTCTCCTCTCGGGATCTTGGGCACACGTATATATATATATATATGACATTCAGCATTGTACTTGATAACTGATAAGAATGTTAAAGAAAAACTGAAGTGGATATCAGGCCTAAACAGTTTCTAAGAAAACAAACTAAGCTTAATAATAGTCCTGACCTTACTTAAACTGTAAGCCCAGTAAAACTTAACTTGGGTCATTCTTGGTAAATACTTGCATTAGAGGAAAACAAAATTTAACATCATCCAATCAAAAATTGCCAACTAATATAATTACGTGATCAGGAACTTTCCAACAAGGTAAAACAAAAGTCACTGTTGTAACATTAATGTGTGAAATAACTTCTTTATTTTACTTCCATCCTGATGACCTAATCTAATCCCAATTACCTCCTAACACCATGGTTGGATTAAATTTTTACTCTTTTAATACCATCTCAGTAATAATGAATTTCAACATGTGACTTTTCGGTGACACCTTCACATCATAGTATACTTTTTCTGGAAAAAACAAATTTACTTCTTATAAAATAATGACTGGGGAACCAGCAAGTGGCATAGTGGTTAAAGTGCTGGATTCTCACATGGCTGACCACAGTTCTAGTGCTGGTGGCTTGAAGATGACACCTAGCACATGTGTGTGGGTGCCCCAAATCCCAAGAAGACACTGGAGGAGAAGGGATTGTGGAATGGCTGTACCCTCTGGGGAATGATTTCTCCCTTTCCCTCTCTCTCTTTCTCTGTCTCTGTCTCTCTCTCTCTCAGGTACACACATGGAACTTATGGTAAAAACAAAACAAACAAACAAAACTAAAGAAAACAATAATAATTACTGGAATATCTGTGCCATTAATAATAGAACATTGTATCCCCTGCATTTGTTAACTCAGATTTAACTCAATATTGCAAGGTCTTGATGCTTTATGCCAAAGTATACTCCCTAGGTTTTTCTGTAACCCACCTGTGGACGGCGATCTAATATTCTGTGACCTTGAGCATAGATACTGGGATTTATAGAAACACTATTGCAGGAAGTACTCTTGAGCCTTATTGAAAAGAACTATACAAGATTCTTCTCTTCAGTCATACTGAAGCACAATTTCAAGGTTCTGAGATTTGGGTTCATATATCTCAGCTAAAGAGAGCGTCTTCAGACTTTTGGACTTGTCAACCTATAAGTGATTTAAAGTTAAGGTTATCTAAGGGAAAGCCACCCCTGGAAGTAGACGGATCACAAAGTAGACAACTCTTTCAAGACCATGGAACTCCACTGAATTCCCTTTCATATATTAGGACTTGATTAGTTTTACATTAATGCAGAATGTTCAAATGTATGCTTGTACTTTTGTTAGGAACTTTCAGGGCTCAAAGTGAGCATCCCTCAAGTTCAGTTTCTAAAGTATAGTCACTCTTCCTAACCAAGTAGTTGCTGGTTATGTGATCATTTAGATGAATGGGAAGCATTGTAAGTGATCATTGAACCTACTGCCATCCAGATTTGGGTGAGCGATATTGGAAAATGACTTTATGGAAGGGTTTGTCATCCTTAGATTGGCAAATTGGTTGATATTTATGATCAGTTGATTTGGAAATGACAATAAGCAGCAGAAGCAAAGGGAGGGCTTACAAATGCCATTGGCTTCATTATTGGTAATTTATGACAATGCACAAAACACCTTAAATAGCACTAACATCATCTAGGTAATGTCTAGACTCTCTGGAATGACACTGTTTAGTTCGACCGAGTTGATAGAGCTTACTCCTTTATATAATAATGTGGATAAAGATCAGAACATGGCAACATTGTCCTTAAACACACCGTTAAGTATCTTTCATCAATTGTGGTAACAAAATATGTAAAGTTTCTGTACATGTAAATATGTAAGTTGTCTGGATGCCGTGGCTTGAGTTACTTTCTATGTAAAACGACCAGTGTGACTTTGTACATGCCAGGCAAGTCCTTAATTTAGGATCAGTTAGTCATAAAGTAACCCACACAAATGAACCTCTCACATTTTCCAAACCTAATCATTCAAAGGAACTCTGGGTTTCCTCCTTTAGTAAGACCTATTTTTCCTCCAGTCAGAATCTCTGAAGTAGAAAAATCACTTGTTATTAATCATATTTAAGCAACTGTTGAAAAAAATGTTTGAATGATACTTTAAGTTCTTTTCAAGTACTTCCATGAAATGAATATTTTGGCTCTAGCTGTACTCAAAAATAAAAGATTTCTTGGAATTTTAACTGCACAAGAATGAGGTGCGTGTGGCCTAATGGGCTACAAATGTGTCTGGGTTAACAAATCAGAAATGGTTGCCCCAAATGTGAAGAATATCATAGAACAGACATGAGCCGTTAAATCTTTTTTTTTTTTTTAGAGGTTTTTGCTATAGGGCGTGTGTGCTCGCCAGACAGACAGAGAGAGACATAGAGACAGAAAGCGAGAAATCACCCCCCATGGGGTATGGTCACACCGCAATCCCTTCTCCTCCATTCTCCTCTTGGGATCTTGGGCACGCACGCACACGCACCCGGCGTGAGTTTTAAGCCACCAGGCCCGGGACGCGAACCGCGGCTGACTACGTGGGAGTCCAGTGACATAGCCATTACGCTAACTGCTGGTTCCCAGGAGCCGTTAAATCTTGAGTCCCGAGAATCTCTTGGTCATTCTTCTTTCTATAATCATTATATTTACGTCTCTGCTGCCATGTATTCTCTTAAGCATTTTAAATTATTACTAGAGGACATTCACATGCCAAATGGTTGCTGTCAGGGTTAGACACCTTGATAAAACTAGCACCTGCTCTGCAATTGCTGTTGGCACCTGTGATTCTGAACCCCAACTTACCTGTGATGATGTTGATAAAGTCTGCCTGAATCTAGCCCAGTGACTACTTCAGTAATGGTAACTTAAAGTAACACTCTCCCAACTTGGTTTTTCCAACTTGCTGAGGGAGGGGGACCAAAAGAAAGGAAAACAAAATTAAAATGGAGACTGGGCCTTAAAAACAATCTAGGGTTTTTTTTTTGTTTGTTTGTTTTTGGTTTATGTGTGTGTGTGTGTGTGTGTGTGTGTGTGTGTGTGTGTTGGGGTGGGGAGAGATTTTTGCTGTAGGGTGTGTGCACTTGTCAGAGAGACAGAGACAGAGATAGAGAGATAGAAAGCAAGAAATTTCCTGCCTTGGAGGATGGCTGTCCTGCAATCCTTTCTCCTCCACTCTCCTCTCAGGATTTTGGGCACACACACACATGTGTCCTGCATGAGTTGCAAGCCTTTTGTTCTCATAATTGAGTAATGTCTTGACAGTGTGTAAAATTTGTAAGTCATATTCCATATACATATATACATATATGTATATACACACATAAGTATGTATATGTATCTGTACATATATATTCCATATATACACATATATATACACACATGTATGTGTATATATATTCCATATATATATGTGTGTGTGTATATATATGTAATTTTGTACTGTCATCTTAAATAAATTTTCCAGTACATGTTTTGGTGTGTTTTGCTATAGGGCGTGTGTGCTCGCCAGACAGACAGAGAGAGACATAGAGACAGAAAGCGAGAAATCACCCCCCATGGGGTATGGTCACACCGCAATCCCTTCTCCTCCATTCTCCTCTTGGGATCTTGGGCACGCACGCACACGCACCCGGCGTGAGTTTTAAGCCACCAGGTCCGGGACGCGAACCGCGGCTGACTACGTGGGAGTCCAGTGACATAGCCATTACGCTAACTGCTGGTTCCCAGGAGCCGTTAAATCTTGAGTCCCGAGAATCTCTTGGTCATTCTTCTTTCTATAATCATTATATTTACGTCTCTGCTGCCATGTATTCTCTTAAGCATTTTAAATTATTACTAGAGGACATTCACATGCCAAATGGTTGCTGTCAGGGTTAGACACCTTGATAAAACTAGCACCTGCTCTGCAATTGCTGTTGGCACCTGTGATTCTGAACCCCAACTTACCTGTGATGATGTTGATAAAGTCTGCCTGAATCTAGCCCAGTGACTACTTCAGTAATGGTAACTTAAAGTAACACTCTCCCAACTTGGTTTTTCCAACTTGCTGAGGGAGGGGGACCAAAAGAAAGGAAAACAAAATTAAAATGGAGACTGGGCCTTAAAAACAATCTAGGGTTTTTTGTTTGTTTGTTTGTTTTTGGTTTATGTGTGTGTGTGTGTGTGTGTGTGTGTGTGTGTTGGGGTGGGGAGAGATTTTTGCTGTAGGGTGTGTGCACTTGTCAGAGAGACAGAGACAGAGATAGAGAGATAGAAAGCAAGAAATTTCCTGCCTTGGAGGATGGCTGTCCTGCAATCCTTTCTCCTCCACTCTCCTCTCAGGATTTTGGGCACACACACACATGTGTCCTGCATGAGTTGCAAGCCTTTTGTTCTCATAATTGAGTAATGTCTTGACAGTGTGTAAAATTTGTAAGTCATATTCCATATACATATATACATATATGTATATACACACATAAGTATGTATATGTATCTGTACATATATATTCCATATATACACATATATATACACACATGTATGTGTATATATATTCCATATATATATGTGTGTGTGTATATATATGTAATTTTGTACTGTCATCTTAAATAAATTTTCCAGTACATGTTTTGGTGTGTGTGTGTTTGTTATTGTGCATAAGTCTTGTTAATCCTTGCATATATATTTATTATCTGTCTCTTCTTCTTTTAAGGGAATATCTTTTTACCCCTGAGAGAAAATTTCCTGTATTATTTCTGTAAATTTTACTTTCTCCATATTTTTTATTCTATGGTAAATCTACGATTTTACCCTGGGTCTTTTGGCTCTGTCCATAACTATTTTTAAATTTTTTTTTGTTGTGTATTTTATCAACATTTGCTCTCCCTTAACTAAGCTACTAATTCTGTTATCAATAATAAAATTCCCTTTGATTCATTTATTGAATTATTTAAGTGCCATGTATTTTAGATTGAGTGTCAATTTTTTTATTGAAAAGATCACCTTTGAAACCTTATTAACTTTGCCTGTAATTATGATTATATTGTTTAGCCAGTGCTGTTTCATTAGAAATCAAGATTTTAAGTTTCCTCTTACTTTTGTGTAATCCCTTCATGTGGGATATTGTTTTCCTTTGACCATTTGTGCTGTTACTGCTTCCCTGAGTAAGCCAGCGTCTTCTGTTACTTGTGTAGAAGTAAGAGTATACTGTTGAAAGCCCAGGGTGAATAAACTTGCAAGCCGAAGGGTTATCCTTTCCATTATGCCTGTCAGGATATCTGTCAGGTTTTTGCTTATAATTCCCTTCTGAGAACTGCTTCTGGATTCCCTCCCACCACCTCCTTGCACTCGCTGGCTGTTACTGAGATGCGACTGCCCTCGCACCAGCGTTCCTGGGTCGTGGACTGCACCTAAGTGCAGTTTTATTCCTTGAATAAACTGTCAGGTCGGTTTCCTTAAATGAGCTGGTCGATGACAGTGCATTTTCTGGGAAGCTCTCTAATTTTGTTATTTTAATTGAGAAGCAGTGGTAGGTTGTTGCGTAATAACCGTTCTTTTCCTGGAAGGAAACTTGTACTTCTCTCCACCGTGTTGATGCCAATGTTGATACCAGGTTTGGCTGTAAGATTGACTTATGAAACTTGAGCCCTCATCCAAACAAAAGCTTTAGAACTTTAGTGCTTTAGAAATTTTGTGTAACAAATTACAACCGATTTTTATTTTTTCCTCCTTTTGCTACAAGAATGGCATTTCCAGGAAGGAGTGGTGCCTTTTCCTAGGTTCTAGCATAAAGCAGTCATGGTGCTGAATGTTCAGCAACCTTGACAAGGGCACTCATTTCATTGTTGGTTTAAGGTCTGAGCTTTTGAGGGATTTTCTTTTCTTTCTTCTTTTTTTTTTTTTTTTTAACCAGAACGTTACTTCATGAAGGTTATTTAATATAAAAACTATGTATATGTATGCTTATACACACACATCAATCTGTAAAATTGGTCTATTGGTAATTATTTACAAATGCTAAGTCAGGTACTTATGCCATGAGATTGATTGATGTTTGAGTCTGAAAGAAAGTTGTGGAAACCCATTAATAGAAGCGCTGTCTGTCATCTGCTACTCTACATGTGTCTTTGCTTACCAGTCGATCGCTTTTCATTCATTACAGCGTTCCTACTGACTCCTGGTTATATTGGCTTTTTTTTTTTTTTAAATATTCACCATATGCTGTTCGAAAAAAGTTTTATCTATTTAGTTTTTAGATGTTTGGATATATAAAATTGAAAGTAAATTTTGTTTCGTTTTATTATTGGGGAAATTATTTTGATTAATTATATTACAACAAAGTGTTATATTTTTGGTTGAATAGGTCATTTTTACACCCACATTTCCTGGTGTATTCATATAGCAAGTCAGGAACATTGTATCCAGAGTCTTCTTCTCTAAAGGTGAGTTTTGCTTTCTCTTGATGAGCTTTACAATTTTTTATGTGAAGGTGCCATTGTTGGGAAGAAAATGAATGCTTTGTAGTCCACAGAGTTTTTGGTGAAACAGATGACAAATCAATCAAAAGGTAATGCGACACTTACTGCAAAAGTATGTTAAAAAGAACAACTACCTTTTAAATTTGGAATTGAGAAATCACTTATAAAAAGATAGGTAAGTTATGAGTTATGTGTAGAAGTCTTGGGAAGAGTTTGAGGGCAAAAGGTAGTTAATGAAGGGACCAAGATACACTAAGCATTTTTTCTTTTCTTTTCTTTTTTCTTTTCTTTTCTTTTCTTTTCTTTTCTTTTCTTTTCTTTTTTCTTTTCTTTTTTTCTTTTCTTTTCTTTTTCTTTCTTTCTCTCTCCCTTCCTTCCTCGTCTTCTGTTACTTGTGTAGAAGTAAGAGTATACTGTTGAAAGCCCAGGGTGAATAAACTTGCAAGCCGAAGGGTTATCCTTTCCATTATGCCTGTCAGGATATCTGTCAGGTTTTTGCTTATAATTCCCTTCTGAGAACTGCTTCTGGATTCCCTCCCACCACCTCCTTGCACTCGCTGGCTGTTACTGAGATGCGACTGCCCTCGCACCAGCGTTCCTGGGTCGTGGACTGCACCTAAGTGCAGTTTTATTCCTTGAATAAACTGTCAGGTCGGTTTCCTTAAATGAGCTGGTCGATGACAGTGCATTTTCTGGGAAGCTCTCTAATTTTGTTATTTTAATTGAGAAGCAGTGGTAGGTTGTTGCGTAATAACCGTTCTTTTCCTGGAAGGAAACTTGTACTTCTCTCCACCGTGTTGATGCCAATGTTGATACCAGGTTTGGCTGTAAGATTGACTTATGAAACTTGAGCCCTCATCCAAACAAAAGCTTTAGAACTTTAGTGCTTTAGAAATTTTGTGTAACAAATTACAACCGATTTTTATTTTTTCCTCCTTTTGCTACAAGAATGGCATTTCCAGGAAGGAGTGGTGCCTTTTCCTAGGTTCTAGCATAAAGCAGTCATGGTGCTGAATGTTCAGCAACCTTGACAAGGGCACTCATTTCATTGTTGGTTTAAGGTCTGAGCTTTTGAGGGATTTTCTTTTCTTTCTTCTTTTTTTTTTTTTTTTAACCAGAACGTTACTTCATGAAGGTTATTTAATATAAAAACTATGTATATGTATGCTTATACACACACATCAATCTGTAAAATTGGTCTATTGGTAATTATTTACAAATGCTAAGTCAGGTACTTATGCCATGAGATTGATTGATGTTTGAGTCTGAAAGAAAGTTGTGGAAACCCATTAATAGAAGCGCTGTCTGTCATCTGCTACTCTACATGTGTCTTTGCTTACCAGTCGATCGCTTTTCATTCATTACAGCGTTCCTACTGACTCCTGGTTATATTGGCTTTTTTTTTTTTTTAAATATTCACCATATGCTGTTCGAAAAAAGTTTTATCTATTTAGTTTTTAGATGTTTGGATATATAAAATTGAAAGTAAATTTTGTTTCGTTTTATTATTGGGGAAATTATTTTGATTAATTATATTACAACAAAGTGTTATATTTTTGGTTGAATAGGTCATTTTTACACCCACATTTCCTGGTGTATTCATATAGCAAGTCAGGAACATTGTATCCAGAGTCTTCTTCTCTAAAGGTGAGTTTTGCTTTCTCTTGATGAGCTTTACAATTTTTTATGTGAAGGTGCCATTGTTGGGAAGAAAATGAATGCTTTGTAGTCCACAGAGTTTTTGGTGAAACAGATGACAAATCAATCAAAAGGTAATGCGACACTTACTGCAAAAGTATGTTAAAAAGAACAACTACCTTTTAAATTTGGAATTGAGAAATCACTTATAAAAAGATAGGTAAGTTATGAGTTATGTGTAGAAGTCTTGGGAAGAGTTTGAGGGCAAAAGGTAGTTAATGAAGGGACCAAGATACACTAAGCATTTTTTCTTTTCTTTTCTTTTTTCTTTTCTTTTCTTTTCTTTTCTTTTCTTTTCTTTTCTTTTTTCTTTTCTTTTTTTCTTTTCTTTTCTTTTTCTTTCTTTCTCTCTCCCTTCCTTCCTTCCTTCCTTCCTTCCTTCCTTCCTTCCTTCCTTCCTTCCTTTCTTTCTTTCTTTCTTTCTTTATCTTCCTTCCTTCCTTCCTTCCTTCCTTCTTTCCTTCCTTCCTTCCTTCCTTCCTTCCTTCCTTCCTTCCTTCCTTCCTTCCTTCCTTCCTTCCTTTTCTTTTTTTTTCTTCCCATAGGATTCATGTGCTCACTGGAGAGATACAGAAACAGTGAGAGGGAAAGTGAGAAATCACCCCTAACCCACAGGAGGGATACCACATTGCAATCTCTTTTCTTCCATTTTCCTCTTGGGATTTTGAGCATGCACACACATGCACCTAGTGCGATTTTTGAGCCCCTGGCCTGGTGGGCCATGTGGGAGTCTAACACCTTAACCACTACGCCACCTGCTAGTACCCACACTAGCAGTTTTAATTGATATCATGGGACTTGAGCATTGGAAGAAATGGTGGAAAATTCACATTTATACACTAAGATATAAACTTATTACAATGCCATAGATATTAAAAATATTTCCCCACTTTATGTTTGTACTTAATCCTACTTACAATGTTTTAAAAATCAAAAGGAGGTTTAAAATAAAAGAACATATGAAAACGAGTGAGGATTAATAAACCAATTTTGTATATAATCTCAGTAGGTTCATATGCAAAATTCTGAAATTTGAATATATATAAGAAGCAGGAGTCAAGAATTTTTTGAAAGTATATGAGAAAATTTTACTCTGTAAGATATTTATTCTGGTAGAACAGATCATCGAGAAGGAATGAATGACAATGAGTGGCCAGGTTCTTCTATGTTGGAATTGAGAGACAATGCAATTAAAAGTACATTCACTGTAACAAGATTTTCTTTCCCGTTTATATACAAGTACAAAGCTTAAACAAGTGCATAAGGTACCTGTTTGCAGACATGTGACAATATTTTAGGATCAGGAATTTTCTCCTTGACAAATGGAAACCACAGAGGGTGAGCTTCACATTCAGCTTGGCTTTGTGACTGAGGTAATGCCCGGATCAAGGCATAGGGAGGTTGAGTCAGGTACAACTCTAAGGGATTAGCGTTTAGGACTGCTGAAACCGCTGGGATTGCAAGACTCAGTCCCGTCGTTAAAGGATGGCTATGAGATGTGTCCCCCCCAGGTTGCCCTTCTGTGCTTGACTATGAATTAGGTCATGTTGTGCTAAGAATCTACTGAAGAGTTGTGAGGAAAATGAAAGAAGCAAAGGTAAAGAACTATTGAGAGATACTGGGTTTTTGACGCAGGGAGGGTAGAGTGACTTTGCTCAGACCCAGGCATTTAGCTAAAACCAGAAAGGCTAATTCTTGGCAAATAGATCACTACATAGAATGGGGCTGTCCCACATTCTAGTGGTTATGAGATCTGGATCCCACATGGCTAACTGGTTTCAAGCCAGGCCCTGAAGGCTTGAGAAACATGGTGATCATGTGTACCTGCATGCTCAGAATCTCCATGGGTGGGAGAAATGCAGGAGAAGAGATTGTGGCATTCCCATGCCCACTGGGGAGCTGCTTCTCTCTCACATTCTCTTTCTATGTCTCTCTGTCTCTTTCTGGCAATCACAAACACCTTTTGAAAAAAAAATCTGAAATTAAAGACCAGTCTTTTCACTACCAGTCTCCATTCTCACCCCAATGACTAAAATTCAGCATTTAGAAGGTTAAAGAGAATCACAACCAAATTAATTGTGTTATAATACTACTCTGCAAAGGGATACCTCTAAGTAAAGAAAAGAATGAATGCAGATAAGGACAAAAATGAATGAGATAGAAAACTGTAAAGGAATAGGGAAAAAATGAAGCTGAAAAAGAACTATTAAAATTAGTAACTGCTAGTAAGATAATCTAGAACAGAACTAGAAAATTTTATCAATATTAGGAAGACAATATTATTAGTCATACAGAAAGTAATTTTTCAGAGTTTTATGAAAGCTTTATACCCATAAATATGATAATGTAAAAAAATGGGTGATTTCCTTAAAAAGGTAATTTATTAAATTTGGGAGAAGGGGACCAACAGTTAGTGTAATGTCTGTCACTGGATTCCCATGTAGTCGACTGTGGTTTGCGTCCCGGACCCGGTGACTTCAAACTCATGCCGGGCGCATGTGCGTGCGTGCCCAAGATCCCAAGAGAAGAATGGAGGAGAAGGGATTTCAGTGTGGCCATCCTCCCCTGGGGGGGTGATCTCTCACTTTCTGTCTCTATGTCTCTCTCTGTCTGTCTGGCGAGCGCACATGCTCTATAGCAAAATCCTCTTCAAAAAAAAAATTAAGTTGAGAGAAGAAAAAATAATCTCTCATTTATTTAATATCTCCTTAACATTGAATTTCTATATAACCACTTTCCCTCAAAGAAACATCAGGTTTATACATTCTCATACCAACGTGTTCAATATATAAGATGAAAGGAACTCTTGACCTCTTGAGAGACAATCACCTTTTTCTAGTTTTTGACTATTAAAAATAATGCTTCTATAAACATTGATGTACAGTTTTCTGTGTGAATATATTTATTTCTCTGGGATACATGATCAGAGTTGTGATTGCCAGCTCATGTGGTAAATGTATATGTGTATTTTTAAGGTTTTTGCTATAGGGTGTGTGTACTCGCCAGAGAGAAAAAGAGATAGTGAGAGAGAAAGTGAGAAATCACATCCCTCCCTGGATGGCTACACCACAATCCCTTCTTCTCCATTCTCCTTTTGGGACTTTGGGCCATGTAGGAGTCCAGTGCCTTAACCATCATGTGACCTGCTAGCCCCATCATTCTTTGTTTTTTGATCATAGCCATTCTGACTGAGATTAATTAGATGGGATCTCTTGCAGTTTTGATTTGCATTTCCTTTATTACAAGAGATAATGAAGATTTTTTCA